AAAAAAAAAAAGAAAAGAAAATTTAGCTTGACATGGTGCACACCTGTGATCCCAGCACTCAGGAGGCCTAGGCAGGAGGATCCATGAGTTCAAGGCCAGCCTGAACTACATAGTAAAACTCTGTCTCAAAAAGGAGGCCAAAAAAAAAAAAAATATTACAGCTGGGCATGGTGGCTTATGCCTATAATCCTAGCACTCTGGAGGCTGAGGCAGGAAGCTCACCATGAGTTTGATGCCAGTCTGGCCTACATAGTGAGTTCAAGGCCAGCCTGCAATCCTCCTGCCTCAGCCTCCTGAGTGCTGGGATTACAGGTGTGTGCCTCATGCCCAGCTTGTGCCTGGCTTTCTCCATCCGTGAAGTGGGGATAACAAACAATCATGACATCCAGGGTGGCTGGAGGTCGTGTGGGGATTCAGCCAACCACTCCCACTCGTGGTAAAAGCTGGACGCCTCGAGGCTCGGTGCTCCTGCCCCGTGCCCTCACACCACCTGTCTTTCTCCTGCAGCACGAAGCTGCTGGGCGAATACTTCAGGTACAAGGGCGTCCCCTTCCCCGTTGGCCTCTACTCGCCTGAGAGCGTCAGTCTGACTGAGAATACCCAGGATGTGCATGACGACGACATCTTCATCGTTACCTACCCCAAGTCAGGTACTGAGGCTGTGGGGAGCAGGGTGCTGGGACGGGAGGGCCGGGGACAGGGTGGGGGTCGTAGGAGCCTGGCTTGGAGCCAGGGTGTTGCTGGAGCCCCCGGGTCCCCTGAGCCGCCTCTTGCCCACTGCGTTCCCTTTGCCCTCACTGTATTTGTTCATTGCTGCCAGCCACGCTCTCTGGTGCCCCTGTACAAATGAGAAACTGTGTCCACAAGGCCCAGCGGGTTGGTCTGCCTTAAAAGCTGCTGGGTATGGCGGCACACGCCTGTCATCCCAGCACTCGGGAGGCTGAGGCAGGAGGATCACTGCAAGTTCCAGGCCAGGCTGGGGGCTACGTAGTGAGACACTGTCTCAAAAAACCAAAATTGAAGCCGGGCGTGGTGGCGCACGCCTGTAATCCCAGCACTCAGGAGGCTGAAGCAGGAGGATCGTTG